ACATGCTAGGATATTCACTAGCCAGAGCTACACTCTGTGTCTCTAGTCACAAAGGACTCTGGCAGGAGTGTCGTCAAATAGACCCAGGAAAAATTTATCATCCTGTCCAGAAAACCAACTCTAAATCGTGGATACCCTTCATGTTAAAAAAATGCAAAAATTTAAGATATTTTATCTACTTTGAAAATGTGTACACACAATTATCACCACCATTGATGATTAGAGTTAAAACCCAAAAGCCTGATAAAACAAAAAGAAAAAAACAACATCAAACACATGCCCTTCCTCTCATTGATCAGATTTATGATGGAAGCCACCATATCTGTAAAAGGATATAGGTTTAGGATTAGCAGGTGGTCCTTGATTACCACACCTGTAATTCAGGGCATACACACAGGGCGACAAAAGAAACTTTACCTTTCTTACAGTATTTTCCCTATTTGTGATATTTCTACCTTTAAATTTAAAGTTCTTTAAATGACTCTCAACTTGGTGTCCAGGGAACTTTAAAATACTGATTGCTCCTCTGTACCCCAGGGAGTTGTGATTTAATTGTTCTGTGGTGGGTCTAGATACAAGTATGTTTCTAAAGGTCCCTGGGTGATTCTAATATATAATCAGGACTGAGAACCCTTCCTCTAAGTTAGTGGTTCTCAACCTTCCTAATGCCTCCTAATGCTGTGACCCTTTAATACAGCTCCTCATGTTGTGGTGACCCCCTACCATAAAATTATTTTCGTCACTACTTCATAACTGTAATTTTGCTACTGTTATGAATCATCATGTAAATATCTGATATGTAGGATGTATTTTCATTGTTACAAAGGGGTCGCCACCCACAGGTTGAGAACTGCTGCTTTAAGTCTTCTCAGCCTGCTCCATTAAGCCTAGCAATTGTTCTTCTGAAGACCTGCCCACTTGAAGCTAGGACAGACCCTCTGTATGATTTGTCCTCCCAAATGGATTAGAAAGCCATTCAGAGCTGAAACCATCTTTTAGTCATCTTCTTTTTTTTTTGAGACAGAGCCTCAAGCTGTCCCCCTGGGTAGAGTGCTGTGGCATC